TGACGTCACTGCCGGAAGATGGCAGGAGGGAGGGGTTACTATATTTGGGCAAAAATGTTATTAAACATATTAATTTTAGGTATAAAAATGATCCATTGATCATTCCTTGCTGACCGGACTTTTCCCTTAAAAGACTCTAAAAATATTGAAACGAAAACCTTCAAACTGTCAAAAACTATAAAGAGATTAAGATGGCAACAGTCGCTAACCGCTGGAGTCCTCAGTGGCTCCTTCTTCTTCTTCTCTTTCTTTTCCTTTTTTTCCTTCTTCTTCTTCCTGTCCTTCTTAGCCCCTCCCATCCCAGCGCCTCCTTTGAGCCGGGCGTTCTTGCGCTCCTGGATCACCAGCTGTCTGTAGTGCTCATCGCACGGATGCTCCCAGGTGGACTGGCCCGTAGAGAAGTTGAAGTAGTAGATTTCCCCTGTCGTGTCCTGGCTGTGACACATGAGCAGAGAGGAAAACAAAGAAAAACACTTTGAGCTAAAAATACTGACAGCTCCTAATCTATTCTTCTAATATTCAGTCATAAAGATGATTTTAGACCAGATCATACTTGCTCTTGCTTTATTAGGCTTTAATCTACTTCAAATCAAATCTAATCTTTAATTTGGCCAGGAGACATCGTATTTATGCAGGTTTGAAAAGTGTATAAAGTTTGCAAAAACATGTTCCTAACAAAAGCCTCGTTATTTTATGTGAAAGAACCACAAAGTAGCAGCTATCCCAGAGGTGGAAACCTAGATGCATTGGGTATTTTTAATATGGAAAGCCCTGTGAGCATTTAAATTCAGCCCCCTTTACTTCAATAGCCTTGAAATAATATTAAATGCAGGGTCACAAATGATGATCAGAGAAACATTAGTGAAAAAAAGCCCATTATGGGGACAAAAGAAGAAGGAAAAAAGGTAACTGAGACGTTTAGAACAATCTCCCAAGCATTAAATACAAATCTCACAAGGCTTTGCTCAATCCCTCATCTGAACATCAGAATCAGAAATACTTTAATAATCCCAGAGGGAAATTACTTTTGTTACAGGTTCCAGTTACAGTTTTATATAATATATACACACATCCAACTATACAATATAATAAAGATAAAGAAAATAAGAATAAAAAGAGATAAAATATATACACATATAGCTCTTCTGTATATATATCTGTACGTATATCTATGCATGTGTAAAAACTAAATCCAAATAAAGTGAAAATCCAAGTAAAGTGATAAATAATAATAAAGAATAAAAGAGGAGGATTAATTTACCACACCTTCCAGTATTCAGATTGGAAATCTCTCTAGCCTAATAAACTGAAATAAGTTGATGGGAAAACTATTGTAAACCCAATTAATAATCCCAAAATTGGTCAAAGTGGTCGATTATCAAGAAGAAAGCCATTGTTGAAATAAAGTCACAAGACTTTCCATTTGTGGGAAAACAGGAGCTCCGGTTAAATGAGACCAAATCTGAAGTTATTGGTCCACATGCAAAACGCCATGGCTCACTCTGTTCATCATCTGGAGTGTGATGATTCCAGGGAGCCATCAGAGTGACCATCAATGTGATGTTCTGAGAGGACGGATTAATTGATGGAGCTTATTACAGGCTCAGGAGTTGACGTTAAGGATTTCACATTTCATTTGCCCAGAAACAATTTTTACTTGCCCAGTATAATGTTTGATAAATATAGTTCCTAATATT